CCACCATCTTGGAAGGCATAGCCATATACACCGTGGCTGCATCCAGGTGGTGCTAATTCTGCAGACTTGCAGAGTGCAAGAGCTGTGGAAGCATTAGTGGCCTCCACCTAGAATTCAAAGGATAACCGTTGGGGCCCAGGCAAAGACTTGCTCTAGGGGCAGGGACACTGCAGAGAATCCCCACTAGAGCAGGCCTTAGTGAAGCCATGGGGACAGGGTCTCTGCCTCAGAGACCCCAGACCTATAGAAATGCCAGAATGCAATGCCAACCTGTGAGAGCCACAGGTACTCAACACCAACCTGTGACAACTGCTCCATGGGCTGTGCCCAGCAAAGCTGTAGGGGTGGGGTACCTTGGGGCCTTGGGGACCTTAACCTCTGCCCCGCTGTGTTCAGAAGGCAGGACATGAAGTAAGGGAAGGTTGTTCTTAGGCCTCAAGATTTGGTGTTGTTTGCCTTGTCGAGTTTTGGAGTCGCTTGGAATCTGTTACTCCTTTCTGCTTCCCTATTTCTCTCTTTTGAAATGGGAATGTTCATCCCATGCCTAAATACACCATTGTACTTTGAAAGCCCTTAGCTTGTTTGATGTCATAGATTCACAGCTGGAGGGAATTTGTCTCAGGATGAATCATACCCTGACTCTTACCCACATCTGATTTAAAAGAGACTCTGGATTTTAGACTTTTGAGCTGATGCTGGAATAAGTTAAGACTTTTGGGGCTACTGGGAGAGAAGACATGTATTTTGTATGTGAGAAGGATATGAAATTTGGGGGCCACAGCAGAATGCTATGGTTCAAATGTGTCCCTTCCAAAATTCAGGTGTTGGCAATGTGATGGTATTAAGAGGCAGGGCCTTTAAGAGGCAATTAGGCCATCAAGATGCCTCCCTCATTAATGGGATTAGGCCCTTATAAAAGAGGCTTCACAAAGCATTCCGCTCACTTGCTCTTTCACTCTCTCTTGCCCTTCAGCTTTCTGCCATGTGAGGACACTACAAGAAGGCTCTCATCAGTAACTCAAACCTGCGAGAGCCTTGATCTTGGACTTCCCAGCCCCCAGAAGTATGATAAAATAAATTTCTATTCTTATAAATTACCCAGTCTCAAGTATTTTGTTGTAGTGGCACAAAACAGACTAAGACATATCAACGGAAAGAAGAATATGAGGCTGTGTAGGTGCTAAGCAGCCAAGGAAGTGGATTTAATGGACGTTGCGTTTGTCTTGTTTTCATATTTCTCTATATAGGTGCCTTCCTTTGAGGATTACTACAGTGTTTTTCATGTAATTATGGTGGAGTTGTAATTTACACCCTGCCTTTAGCCAAACCACTTGGTTGAGCATGTGACTAAGTCAACTAGAATCTTTCTCACAGGAATTTATTTACTTACCTATTTATTTTTGAGATGGAGTCTCACTCTGTCACCCAGGCTGGAATGCAGTGATGTAATCTTAGTTCACTGCAGTCTCTGTCTCCTGGGTCCAAGTGATTCTCCTCCCTCAGCCTCCTGAGTAGCTGTGACTACAGGCATGGGACACTATGCCTGGCAAATTTTTGTGTTTCTAGTACAGACGAGGTTTCGCCATGTTGACCAGGCTGGTCTCGAACTCCAGACCTCAGGTGATCCACCTATCTCGACCTCCCAAAGTGCTGGAATTACAGGCATGAATCACTGTGCCCGACACTCTCAGGAATTTAATTGTTAGAGTGGCAATGGATGCAACTGAAGTTGAATTATCACAAGAACAGTGTCCTGTAATCCACAGAACAATCATGAGATGTGGGAGGTTCTAATGGCAGTTAAAATTTGATTTTTCTGCATAAAAGAGAACATTCGGATAAATGTCTTGAAAAGGTTTCTTACCTGGAAGAGATGTCTAGATGCAGGCAGTTCAAGATTGATATGACCCCTTTACAACATCATTCTGCCTTCCATCCTTAGCATGTGAGTCTGACTTTCAGGTTCCAAGTGTGAAATAAAATAAAATCTTGGGACCCCAAACTCACTATGCCAAAGGAGAGTTGAGCTTGACAACTGAGTTGGGGCAATACTGCCCACCATTTTGTTTCCAAACAGATGGTTGTAATTTCACAATTCCATGCCAGAGCCTTATACATAAGTCAGGTTCCCACAATAATAGAAGGCCATACACCTTCCCAGATGGCTTCCCTCACAAATTACAAAGAAATTCCCTGCAAGCCCCTAGATCTTTCAGGATACATTTCTCCCTACAAACCAGCCCTAAAATCTGTTAAATCTCACAGGGACTGGTGTGAGATGGTATCTCATTGTTTTGATTTGCATTTCTTTGATGATTTGTGATATTGAGCATTTTTTCACACATATGTTGGCCACTTGTGTGTGTTCCTTTGAGAAATGTCTGTTCATGTCCTTTTCCATCAGTCAGAATGGCAATTATTAAAAAGTCAAAAAACAACAGATGTTGGCGAGGCTTCAGAGAAAAGGGAATGCTCATACACTGTTGGTGGAAATACAAACTAGTTCAGCCACTGTGGAAAGCAGTTTGGAGATTTCTCAAAGAGCTTAAAATAGAACTACCATTCAACCCAGCATTCCCACTACCTGGTATATACCCAAATGAAAATAATTCATTCTATCAAATAGACACATATACCCATATGTTCATCACAGCACTATTCACTATAGCAAGGGCATGGAATCAAACAAAGTGGATTGGATTTTAAAAATGTGGTATAGGCTGTTCTGCCTATGGAGTAGCCTTTTTTATTCCTTCACTTTCTTAATAAACTTGGTTCCTTTTTTTTTTTTTTTTTGGAGACAGAGTCTCCCTCTCTTGTCCAAGCTAGAGTGCAATGTGCAATGGTATGCTCTCAGCTCACTGCAGCCTCCGCCTCCCAGGTTCAAGTGATTATCCTGCCTCAGCCTCCTGAGTAGCTGTAATTACAGGTGTGCACCACCATGCCTGGCTAATTTTTGTATTTTTAGTAGAGACGGGGTTTCACCACGTTACCCAGGCTGGTCTCAAACTGTTGATCTAAGGTGATCCACCCACCTTGGCCTCCCAAAGTGCTGGGATTACAGGTTTGAGCCACTGCGCCTGGCCTATTATTCTTTAAACCATGTATATAATACCAAGGTTAGGTATCTGAACTGGGAATATGAGGCAAAATAATATGTATTGAATCAGACAACACATGTAATTTCTGCCCTTCTTCATTTATCACCTTCACACTAAAGGACATTAGCCAGGTAATATCAATAACTATTTTCGAATGACAGAAACAGAAACAACCATTTGAAATAAATTCAGCTACAATGCTTTTGTTTACTTACTGTACAAAATCATTAATGTTCACCAATATTATTATTTCATTCTTTAGGATCATTTCTGTCTTCAAAAAGCAAATATTTATTTGAGGGCTTACTAAATGCTCAAAATACTGGAATACTTGAGGCTCTTACAGTCTGATGGACGAGACAGATACCTTAATCATTAAAAAACATGTTTGATGTGACAATTGGTGTAAGTGGTTTGTGCATAGATCAAGAAGGCATCACGGCTGCTAAGTCATGCCAAAGTCAGTTGGTTCTTCTCATTCCAGTTCTACACCTGTAGGGTAATATACTGATAGTGGGGATGGGAAATACATGTAACTCAAATGGTATATCAACAAATAATATTAATTAAGCAATCCTCTCTCTCACACACACACACACAGCTACGGAGTTCACAAAAACCGGATTTTTCAGAGCAATGTCCCTATCTACCTCATATTGTCTGAAATTTCTTTTCTTTTTTTTTTTTTTTTTCCTGGAGTGCAGTGCTGCGATCCCGGCTCACTGCAAGCTCCGCCTACCGGGGTCACGCCATTCTCCTGCCTCAGCCTCCCAAGTAGCTGGGACTACAGGCGCCCGCCACCCCCCTTCTGCTAATGTTTTGTATTTTTAATGGAGACGGGGTTTCACCGTGTTAGTCAGGATGGTCTTGATCTCCTGACCTCGTGATCCACCTGCCTTGGTCTCCCAAAGTGCTGGGATTACAGGCGTGAGTCACCGCGCCTGGCCTATTGTCTGAAATTTCTATCTAGAAATCTTTCCCCATAGTACTTAGAGGATTTTCATAGAGATCTTGAATTTTCTATCAAAATAATTTTAAAATTAGACCAATTTAAAATCCCAGCATGGTCATCCTAGGCCTTATGGCTTCAAGTAAAACTAAAGCAAGGAATTCAACATAAATACATATTTAGCTGTTCCTATGTTTGAAGCCTTGTGCTAAAGTATGGTTCAAACTTGATTCTGTCAGGGAGAAGCACAAGGAAAAGCCCTTTTACAACGGCATATTGGTCCAGTAAAAGTTCTGCAACTACTCCTTTCTAATTTAAATATATATATATATCTGCAGTAGACACTCAGGTTTTGCTAAAGGTGCCCTCATTATTTCTCCAGATGGTATATACATACATTCTGGGTTACTTGTTTCTTAAAACTACTAACTTTTGTCCCACGTGTTCCAATTTTAGGTTAAATAAATAAGCACACTACCCCGGACCCACATCTCCTGTAATTCGCAGTGCCTAACTTTCTACCAACAAAGATCTGTGCCTTTCATCCTGAAATGGGCATAACGGAAAGAGACGCAGAAATCTACGTGGATTTAAATCCTAGAGTGCTTTGGAGAAAAGTCCCTAATCTCGGTTTTCCACGTCACTCAAATGCAGGGCCACACTAGATGGCCTTTTCAAGGTCCTTTGCATCTGCAGACTTCCGCGGTTAAAACGCATCTCTTCTTGGAAGATAATTCACCTGAAGCTCCTCCGGGAAATTAGCTTGTTGAGGGCCAGGCCAACCACCGGGTAGGAGCGAATCTGGTTTCTTTTTGAAAAGCCTTCCTAGGGTGAGCATCCAGCTCCAGCAACAGGGCGCGACCCCGCACCACGTGTCTGCGCCAGCTGCGGGATTGGCTGAGCGCATTTTAGCGCTGCAGTCTAGACGCGCGCAGTCCCGCCCAGCTGCCAGAGGAGCCGGGACACCGAGGGAAGAGGCCGGAGGGAGATCGCGGAGGGGAGGGGGCGGGAGGGGGGTGGGGGATCCCGAGTCGTCAGTGGTCCGGAATCTGGAAGGCCCTGGAGCGGCGCCAGGCGACCCGCCTCGCCACAACTTGCCCAGACGAGACACGTTTCATCCTGCGCCCTGCAAGAAGGAGCCGGCCCGCCTCTCTCCGCTCTGCTGTTCCTCGGCCTCCGCCGGCCCTGCCCGCGTCAGCAGCGACCCTGGGGTCTGGGTCCCCTGTGTCGCCCCCGCCTGCCTGCAGCGCCCGGCACCCGCCCTGGAGCGCGCAGCTGCGGTGAGCCGAGACCAGGGATGCTCCAGACGCACGCAGGAGGCGGTGGCGGACGGGGTATCCCGATAACCGCGAAGCCGGCCCTCCTGCCTCTCCCGGCTGCGAGCCGAGCTGCTGCAGATCCAGCTGGCGTAGCCGCCGCAGCCCCCACTGCCTGTTTGCCTTCCAAGGAAGGGCGCCGAGGTCCCCCCAGAACCCGCGTCTCTAGGCCTTTGCCTACCCGTTCGGCTGCCCGGCGGTGCCATGCGCCTGGGACCTGAGGCGCCGCGCGAGGCTGGGGGCCCTGCCCGGGATGGGGGAGGGAGGGAACGGGAAAGCGTGCCCCCTTCTTTCCTGTTCCGGCCATCTTGTGACCGAGATCCACGCAAGGGGGAAGGGGTGGCCAACCGCACGGCTCCCCACGATGGAATGCGGCGGCCAACGGAGATAGGCGCCTCGGGCCCGCGGATCCCTGCGCCCAGATCTCAGCGGGGGCGCGTGGGCCACCCCCACGTTCATCTCCGAAGACCTTGGCCCAAATCATGGGTTAATCCTTCTAACAGGCCAGGGGCAGCAAAAATAAAAGGGATAAGGGGCCAGGAGCTGAGTTTCCTTAACTAAGTGCCCAAGTCATTCGATCGTTCTTCATTCACGTGTCCATTCAGCAAATTCTGAATGCCTTCTCCGTGCCTCTCCTTTGCTAGGTGCTAGGGATATATACTTGAGCAAGAGAGACCACAGCTCTTGTTCCCGCTGATACTGCAGCCCAGTGGATGGAGCCTAGAGTCTACAGATCTGCCAGGTCGGTGTCTTGATGCTCTTAAACAGATGGGGGAAGCTGAGTCTTAGGGCTGACCATTTGTTCTAGATCAGGCAGCAAGTAAATGACAGAATCAAACTTTGAAACTAATTATGTCTTTAGCACTTTTTATGCCTGGTTGCAGGGAATCGTTCTTTTTTTTCTAAAGGCCAATTAAAAAATACTTGGAAGTATGGTTTATTTGAAACCATATGAAGTGCGTGTTTTATTTCCTGCATGTTTTTGCATGGGTTTATTTCTAGTTAACAGTATCTTAAAAGTGCTAAATATATTTGATATTGCAACTTTGCTTCCAGTTACTCTGAATTGTATTTTCCTTTCTTCTGTTCACATATTTGGATGTTAGGAAAGAAAAAAAATTTCCTGATGTCTGGTCCAAGCAGGAATACCCCGGTGGACTGGGGAATGTCTGGCTTTTCCTCAGCTTATTGATCTCTGTTGTAACCACTGGAGGCCCCCAGAAGACCTGCACAAATGAGAGGCCTGAAGTCTACAAGTTGCTGCTAGAAATATTTTAGCCTCTCCAAAACCCAGAATGCAGCCCCGATCCAAGTTTGTCAGGTAAATACAATGGCCCTGTAAAACTTGTTGGTAAAGCCGAGGGCTAAAATCCCCCTCCATCCGTTTCTACCTTCAGCATTTTGAGAATGTATCCTTTTGGAAAGGCGGGTGAAGTATTACATATTTTGGGGAGTTTTTTGGTTTGTACTTTTTATCAAAATGTTATATTTAGGCTGCTGACCTACAAAGAAAGATTCCGTTTAAAAAGCAACTTGGGTGTCAGAAATCTAGAAAGCCTGCCATCAAATATGATTAACTACAAATTTCATTTAAAAAACAACTTTACTGAGATATAATAAAAAACCCACCCTTAATTTTAAGGATACAATTCGGTGAATTTGGTCAAGTGTATATTGCTGGGTAATCAACACCTCAATCAAAATGAAAAACATTTCTGTTATGCCAAAAGCTTCCTCATGCCCTTTTGCAACGAGTCCTCCTCTATCACGTTTAATTATATATATATTTATTGCTTACTGTTTTCTAAATCGTGTGTACAAGATGAATATGAATAGATACTTTTTTTTTTTTCCTATTAATGATGGAATGATTAGGTATGTCTAATATCAAAGCCTAAGGCCAGGGCTACAGTAAATAACCAGGGGATGGCAGTTAAGACCAAAGGTTCCCAGGGATGTGGCTCCCCACGCCTGCCTTAGGGACATGGAGTGTCCAGCCCCAAAGGCCAGGGAGGGTGGCGCCCTGGGGAGCCGGCACCCAGGAGGTACCCTCTTCGGGTGAACGGCTATATCCACTTGGGCTCGTCCAAGAGGTCTTCTCTGGTCCCGCAGGGTTCTGGGTGCACGCTGAGCGCGCGCGGGCGGACGCGCCCTTTGCTCCAGGTCCGGACCTGGGGGCTGCCATAGCAACGTCCTGGACACCCAGACCTTAGGCCGCCGCCGCCGCCGCCGCGGAAGCAAGGAACCCGGCCTTCTCCCGCTCCTGAGGGCTGTCCGGCGGCGGCCGGGGAGGCGGCCCAGGCTGGGTAGAGACCGCCCAGCTCCTCCTATGCAAGCTGAGGCAGCGGATTGGCTTTCAAGTATGGTAAGAGGCGGGAGGCCGGGGCTCCCCCGACGGGGACGCGGGGCTGGGGAGGACCGGGGCTTCCCCGGACCCCCAGCTCCCCAGCCTGCCCGCCCCCCATCCCCGCCTCCCGCCGCGCTCTCTTTGTGCCCCCCGCAGCCCTTCCAGAAGCATGTCTACTACCCGCTCACCAGCGGCCCAGAGGGGCCCGACGTCGCTGTGGCCGCCGCCGCGGGTGCGGCCTCCATGGCCTGTGCGCCCCCCAGCGCGGCTTCGGGGCCCCAGCCCTTCTTCCAGTTCAGGCCGCGGCTGGAGAGTGTGGACTGGCGGCGCCTGAGCGCCATCGACGTGGACAAGGTGGCGGGGGCCGTGGACGTGCTGACCCTGCAGGAGAACATCATGAACATCACCTTCTGCAAGCTGGAGGACGAGAAGTGCCCACACTGTCAGTCGGGGGTGGACCCGGTGCTGCTGAAGCTCATCCGTCTGGCGCAGTTCACCATCGAGTACTTGCTGCACTCACAAGAGTTCCTCACCTCGCAGCTGCACACCCTGGAGGAGCGGCTGCGCCTGAGCCACTGCGAGGGCGAGCAGAGCAAGAAGCTGCTCACCAAGCAGGAGGGGGAGATCAAGACGCTCAAGGAAGAGTGCAAACGCAGGAAGAAGATGATCTCCACCCAGCACCTGATGATCCAGGCCAAAGCCAACTATTACCAGGTGGGCAGCTGTGTGTGAGCACAGTTCATAATCCGGTAAACAACTCAGTTCCCATTTGATAGGCCTGTCCTGTATCACCACTCTTTCTTCTTAAAGATTTATATTGTATATCAGAAGACACAGTCTATTTAAGCAAAAACAGTAATTTTAACTAGCAAATGTCATGGTTCGTTACCTTCTGCAGACGACCAGAGGATTAATAATTAAACAACAAATGTCGTCTGTGGTGCTTTATGGAAGTTATCTAAATACTGGTTGTTGAAACACTTTCCTCCTCCGAATCAACCTAATCATGAAAAAACAATATACAAATTGCTGTTGAAGTCAGTCCCCAAACAATGCAGAATGTTTAAATTTGTAGGGTCTTTTTCTCATTTTTATAAATTTTAAAATATTTTCAAACTCACAGAAAAGTTGCCAGGAGACTGTAAAGAATTTTCATATATATGCCCTTCACCCAGATTCCCCCATTATTAACATTTGCCACAGTTCCTCTATTTCTGTATACGTATTGTTATTACTTTTGAACCATTTCACAGTGAGTTGCAGATCCTAAATATTTTGATGTGTATATTGTCTAAGAACAAGGACATTCATTCACTTACATAACATTATTTAAAGAATAAAGTATTTTTATCTTCTGGTCTTAATCTTCTACTGTTTTGGGTTAGATATTGAGTCCAAGATAAATATTGCAATTTTTGAGTATAACATAAACTAATGTATTTTTTTTATTGACTAGTTGGAGGAAGTGCAGAAGGTATAAACAATGATTGAGAAAGATATCAAAGTAAGCAACAGATTAACAAGATTGATGTCATGCCCTTACTTTCTAGTCCTTTTGGCTAACTATGGCTTAAAAGGCCTCACTGGATTTAGTAATAGTGGAGCCAATGCATGAATGCTGGAGAGAACTGGGTGCAGGGCAGAGAAAATGGTGCAGTTAATATTGCTCAGAACTGACCCAGCAGGAGCATTGAGTGTTCTTAAGATAGGGGAACAGTGGCGGGGTGTGGTGGCTCATGCCTGTAATCCCAGCACTTTGGGAGGCTGAGGCAGGTGGATCACGAGGTCAGGAGATTGAGACCTGAGACCATCCTGGCCAACATGGTGAAACCCCATGTCTACTAAAAATACAAAAATTAGCTGGGCGTGGTGGTACGTGCCTATAGTCCCAGCTACTTGGGAGGCTGAGGCAGGAGAATTGCTTAAACCCAGGAGGCGGAGGTTGCAGTGAGCCAAGATTGTGCCACTGCACTCCAGCCTGGCAACAGATTGAGACTCCATATCAAACAAACAAACAAACAAAAGGGAACAGTTAATATTATTAGAAGGACTTAGTGTTTGGTCTTGGGTAGACAACCCTGAGGTATAATCTTCAAATGACACTGGGCATTGCTAATTGCTTATTTCATAAATGCTGCTTAAAAAGTAAATATTTTCAAATAGTGCTAAGATGGTCTTTTGCTTGTGCAACAAATAGAATAGATTATATTTAAACATTTTTTAAAGGTTTATTATACTCCAGCTTTAGCAGCTATCTAGTGAAATCTTAAAACCGCTAACATACAGAAATTGTATGTTTATAAACTTTTTTTTCTTTTTGGGGGGTTACTATAGAAGTAGCTGTTATAAGAGAAGATTTTCTTTCTCTCTTTTGAGATGGAGTCTCACTCTGTCGCCCAGGCTGGAGTGCAGGGGCGTGATCTCGGTTCACTGCAGCCTCTGTCTCCCAGGTTCAAGCGATTCTCCCACCTCAGCTTCCCAAGTAGCTGGGGCTACCGGTGTGCACCACCACGCCTGGCTGATTGTTGTATTTTTAGTAGAGACAAGGTTTCACCATGTTGGCCAGGCTGGTCTTGAACTCCTGACCTCAAGTGATCCACCCACCTCAGCCTCCCAAAGTGCTGGGATTACACACGTGAGCCACCACACCCAGCCTAAGAGAAGATTTTCAAATGAGAATGATAAGTAACAATTAAAAGGTAATGACTCAATTTATCAAATGAGTGACACCTACTACTTTTTCAGCTACCAGACCTTGGCAAGTTGCTCAACCTCCCTGTGCCTCAGTTTCTACTCTGTGAAATGGGAATATTAATTGTACCTACCATATAGCAGTTGTTAATGGGGATTGAATGACTTAGTGCATGGACTGTGCTTAGAGCAGTGCTTGGCATGTAGTTACTGTTTTAGCTAATACCTGGTAATGAGGGAAAAACGTTTTGTGACATGACAAATACCAAAGCTGACTTATTACAAAATGTGAACAATCATATGACTGCTATCATGTGAGTTTTTCTTTCTTCCCTTATACAGAAAATCCAAAGGCTGGACTCCTTGTTCTGACACAATGATTGGGTCTACTGCATTATCAGTTTTACCTTTGAGAAATTGTAGTCTCATTCTCATTCTCATACCACTTCACTTTGTCTCCATTCCCTTTGCTTTAAGAAATCTTAAGAACTGAGTAGCTGAGACAAAAAAAATTAAAGATGCCTGTTCTTAGAGACTTGAACACACAGACACACAGACAGACAGAAACACACATGCATGCACCCTAATGAGTTTTTCCCCCATGGGGTGTGTGTGTGTGTGTTGTGTATAAGGGGGGTAGTGATGGCAATGTGTAAGGTCTTTTTCCTCAAAATTTTATTAAAAAAAATTAAAACACGGAAAAATTAAAATGACAATATAGTGAATACCCATATATGGGAGATTTTAAAAGAAGAACCTCATTGATTTTCAAATAAAAATTAGTATTGAAATATTATAAACATACAAAAAGTGCATAGACTAATGTAAGACACACCATATACCCACCTCTTAGATTTAACTCAGGTTAGGCGAGGTGCAGTGGCTCACGCCTGTAATCCCAGCACTTTGGGACAAATACCGGGCAGATCACCTGAGGTCAGGAGTTTAAGACAAGCCTGGCCAACATGGTGAAACTCCGTCTCTACTAAAAATACAAAAATTAGCCAGGCGTGGTGGTGTGCACCTGTAATCCCAGCTACTTGGGAGGCTGAAGCTGGAGAATCACTTAAACCCGGGAGGTGGAGGTTGCAGTGAGCTGGGATCGCGCCATTGCACTCCAGCCTGGTTACAAGAGTGAAACTCCATCTCAAAAAAAAAAAAAAAAGATTTAACTCAGGTTAGCATTTTGCTAGATTTCCAAGATAGCAAATGTTTAAAGAGTTTTAAACATCTTAGAAATAAATAATTTTCCCTTCCTGCATTCCCAGAGGAAATCTTTGTTTGACTATATCCTTCCTATTTATGTTTATGAATGTGTAAAATATTTTTATGAACATATGTATTCGTAAGACAGTATTTTTAAGTTTGAAAATTTTCTATAAATGATATTATAGATCTGTACTAATCTGCCAAGGCTGCCATAAAAATCACACAGGTTAGATGGTTTAAACAACAGAAATGTATTTTCCCACAGTTCTGGAGGCTGGAAGTCGAAGATCAAGATCAAGGTGTCAAGAGGGATGGTTCCTGGTGAGGCCTCTCTTCCTGGCTTGTAAACAGCCACCTTCTTGCTATGTCCTCATCAGCTGGCCTTTTCTGTGTTTGGGGGGAGAGAGAGAGAGCGAGAGATTGTTAATGTCTCTCTCTCTTTTTCTTTTTTTAAAGTGAAGGGGTCTTGCTATGTGCCCAGGCTGGCCTTGAACTCCTAGGCTCAAATGTTCCTTCCGCCTTAGCCTTGCGAGTAGCTGGGACTACAGGTGTGAGCCACTGCACCGTATTTACCCTAAAAAGATTTGCCCCTTCTCCACCTCACGCCCTCCCCAACCCTGCCTTATGACCTCATGTAACCTTAACCTTAATTATCTCATTAAAGGCCGCATCTCCAAACACAGTCACAGTGAGAATCAGGGCTTCTTTGCCGTTTCTAGAGTTACACTATCCAGGCTGGTAACATTCACATTCTCTTACTCAACCATAATGTCTTAACTTGTTTTTTCTTCATTGGTTTTATATTTATGTGCTCAAAGTCCTTTCACCTCAACATCTCCATTCTTGAGTTTCTCATTTTGAATTATCTCTTAATTCATAAGATTGTCAAAATGATTTTTCTTACCCAGAAGACCGAAGAGTGCTGCATTTCTTCAACTCTGTCAACTTTGAAAGACATATTGGATGAAGAATATTCTTAGTTACACTTTCCCTCTGAACTTTTTAGATGTGATTCCTTTGTCTTCTGGCAGTAAATGTAGCTGTGAGAAGTATGAGGGTGGCTTAAAGCTTTTCTTCTTGTGAGTGACTTGCTTTTTCTGCCTGCATGACTGAAGAGTCCTTTCTTTCTGCTTGAAGCCTAGTAGCTTTCTAGGGTATGTCTTGGTGTTGAGTGTTCTGTATCAGTTTTCCCTACAACCTGGTGAACTCTTAATCTGCAGATTCAGCTTTCACTGCACTTCAGGGAAACTCTCTTGAATTCAGTCTTTAAATTTTTTTTCATTTTTGGCTTCTCTACTTCTGGGAAACCAGTTACCTGTATGTAGTATTGGTTTTGTCCATCAGTGCTCCATACCCTTTGGTTTCTTTCTCATTGCTTTAATCCTTTCCTTCTAATCTGCATTCACTATGGTAAATTATCTCAGCCTTTCTTTTAGTGAGCAATTCAGTTTTCAACAGTGTCTCTTTTATTCCTTGCTTTTTCTTTTTTTTTTTTTTTTGAGTCAAGGTCTCATTTTGTTGCCCTGGCCCGAGTGCAGTGGTGCAATCTTGTCTTACTGCAACTTCTGCCTCCCAGGTTCAAGTAATTCTCTGGCCTCAGCCTCCCGAGTGGCTGGGATCACAGGCGTGTGCTACTACGCCTGGTTAATTTCTGTATTTTTAGTAGAGACAGGGTTTCGCCATATTGGCCAGGCTGGTCTCGAACTCCTGACCTCAGGTGATCCACCCACCTTGGCCTCCCAAAGTGCTGGCATTACAGGCGTGAGCCACTGCACCTGGCCCTATTTCTTGCTTTTTCTTATTTATTTGTTCTGCAATGATGTTTCAACTCCTTTTTTGTTTTGTTTTGTATTTTATCTTTCTTTTTCAACTCATTCTGGTTTTTAAAAAAATCATATCATTTTTATAGAATGTATGCTACTCTTATGTTCTGTGGTGTGAATAGATTGTGAAGAGCATCTTTAGATTCCTTCTTTAATTTATAGATCCCCACAGTAAGCTTTATCTTTGCATGCCATGTTTTTCCCTCCCTCCCTCCCTCCCTACCTCCTTTTTTCCCCTCCTCCCTTTGACATGGTGGTGTGTTTGCATCCTCTCCATCATCACTGTGCATTTCTCTCATCTTACACTTACATGGGCAGCCCTGCTGAAGCATTCTACTTGCCCGGATAGAATGGCCGTATTGCAGTTTGAAGGCTGGATGGTCTCTGTCTCTGTTAGGAACAGGATCGTTAGAACACCTTCTGGCAATATGTGAACACTGGGGTGGGGTAGGGTGGGGAGAGAGGGAGGCATGGCTTCCTCTTCCTTTCCTTTCTCCAGTGCTGTACACAGCCCGAGAGCCTATATGACTTACATCAGAGCCGATGTGAGGGGTCCCTAAAGTCCTATAGGTGAACCAAAGCTGTCATGAGCCCAGGAGGTTGAAGAGATGCTTTAGGGATTCTCTGAGATGCAATACCAAGAAATATACCAGAATATGACCGGGCACCGTGGCTCACGCTTGTAATTCCAGCACTTTGGGAGGCCAAGGTGGGTGGATCATTTGAGGTTGAGAGTTCGTGACCAGCCTGGCCAACATGGTGAAACTCCATCTCTACTAAACATACAAAAATTAGCTGGGAGTGGTGACAGGCACCTGTAATCTCAGCTACTCAGGAGGCTGTGGCAGGAGAATCTCTTGAACTTGGGAGGTTAAAGCTGCAGTGAGCCATGATTGCTCCACTGCACTCCAGCCTGGGTGACAGGGAGACACTTAAAAAAAAAAAAAAAAAAAGGAAATATACAGAATGTTAGTTTTAGAAACCAAAGCCTGAAGTCTGGATGCAGTTACACTGATTAAGAGTAAGGCAGCATGGTGAACAAAAGAACATGTTCAGTGACGCAATGGGCATGAAAACAGCAAAATCCAAATGGAGAGAAACTCTGCAGGACAAGCTTCAGCCTCTTCAGCAAAAGGATAGCAAGGAGAAAAGAGGTAGAGGAGAAACCTATAGACTAAAAGAGTGTTAAGAGACATAACCATCAGTTACAGGATAGGGATAGGGCCTTATTTGGATCCAGTTATTAATAATTATTCCAAAACAAACCAAATATTTTTTCTACGACAATATGTGAAGTATTAGGGAAAAATCATCAAATTAACAAAAATTAAAAATTATCCAAATAGTTGAATATTTGTTTTTTTAAAAGGATTTAATTTTTATACTTTATAAGGTGGAATAATGGTGTTATAATTTGTGTTAAAGTCCTATCTTCCTTTTAGAGATACATTCTGAAATATTTACAAATGAAATATATAATATCCAGGATTTACTTCAGAGTAATCCAGGAGTGAGGATATAGATGAAATAAATGGGATTTTTGCTTAAAATCTGAATCAGTGTTAAAGTAGAAAAACAGAGGTATATGAGGAATTGACTTCTTTTTTCTCAGAAAATTTATTTTAATAGGTTATACTTCCAAGCTTTTGTTCGTTTATGTATTAAGGCTGTGCTCTGGGGATAAAGCTATAGATAAATTAGAGGCCCTGCCCTCAGAAGGCTACATTCTAGAACCTAGAGGGACTGAGCTGGAGACAATAAACAAGCGAAGTACATAAACATGAAAATATTAGCCAGTGAGATGTATGAGGATGAAAATAAGACTATGTGATGTGACAGAGACTGTGACAGGCAGGAGGATCTTGAAGGAGGACCCTGTTGAGGACATGCCATCATCCCCAGCATGGAAGATGCTTGGTGAATGACATCTTGAATGTCAGGAGAAGGTGCCAGCCATGGAAGGAGGGTCTGGATAAGATCAGGCAGGGGCAACAGTGAATGCAAAGGCTCTGAGATTGGCGTGCCTGCAGGACAGAAAGAAGGCTGGTGTGGCTGGAGTGGCAGGGGCAGGTTGTTGTTGATAGAGTAGAAGCTGTCAGTCTAACAAGAGCGGCATCAGAGGCTCCAGAAAGCAGCAGCAGGACTCCTTTAACTGTCAAGAGGTGGTTTTCACTGTCTTCTGTTCAGTTTGGGACGAACGCCCTGGTTTTATTTTTATTTATTTACTTATATTTTTACTTTTCTTAGAGATGGGCTCTTGCCATGTTGCCCAGGCTGGTCTTGAACTCCTGGCTCAAGTGACCCCCCCAACTGCCTTCAGTCTCCTAAGTGCTGGGATTATATGCATGAGCCATTGCACCCAGCCTGGTTTCATCTCTCTCTTTTTAGTCATGCTTTCAGTATCTCTTGCCAGGATGGTATCTTTCAGCAAGAAAGCGCCCAGGAGGTAGTGCTTCAGGTACCTGAATTTTTTTTTTTTTTTTTGAGATGGAGTCTCACTCTGTTGCCCAGGCTGGAGTGCAGTGGTGCAATCTCAGCTCACTGCAGCCTCTGCCTCTCGGGTTCAAGTGATTCTCTTCCCTCAGTTTCTCTAGTAGCTGGGACTATAGGCACACGCCACTATACCTAATTTTGTATTTTTTTGTGGAGATGGGGTTTCACCATGTTGGCCAGCTGGTCTCAAACTCCTGACCTCAGGTGATCTGCCTGTCTTGGCCTCCCAAAGTGCTGGGGTTACAGGTGTGAGCCACTGCACCTGGCCAGGTACCTGAATTTTAATTGCAATTAAGTGGGATGACAGTCGTTACAGACACTTGGATTTGTTGCTCTCTTCTTTTCAGTGTCATTTTTGTGACAAGGCCTTTATGGACCAAGCTTTTCTACAAAGTCACATTCAACGCCGTCACACTGAAGAAAATTCTCGTTTTGGTGAGTAACGAGTTCTGTTTCAAAGCTCTTTTCTTCCTGCTCCCTTTTTCTTTTGGCAATGAGACTTGGTCCAGTGCATTTCCCATCATAGTCCCTGTCAATTCAGTAAGTAAATATGGAGCCCTCAGGAGGTGCATACAGTGCACTAGGTGCTGGAGATACAGCCACAAGCTGAGCGGAGAAGCCCCACTCTCTCTTGAGGTTTACATTCTAAAGGGGGTTAAGGAGATACATTTAAACAGATAAATGAGTACTTAAACAGATAAATGAATAATTCTTCTCAAATGGTGGCAAAAGATCATAGCGCGGTACAGTGGGGTAGAGAGTGACTCCAGGTGGGGTGAAAGTCTGGGAAAAGTGTTCACAGGCCAAGGGAACACTGACTGTAAGGGCATGAGGTATGCCGGGATGATGTGTTTGAGGAACAGAAGGGCTGGTGGAGTGGAGTAGAATAGGCGAGGAGATGGTGTGTGGTGAGGCTGGAGTGCTGGGGGCCTGATCACAGGAGGCTGTGAAGGTGTGGGCTGGAATGTGGAGTTTTTATATGCACAAGGCAGAACCACTGGGGGATTTTATGCAGGGGAGGGGCATGATCTAATTAATGTGTATCTTAGCATGACCCTTCTAGCTGTGGATAGAGACTAGACTGTTGGGGCGACAGTGGAAGCAGTGGATGAGTGAGGAGAGGAGGCTGCAATCGCAGCCCAGGTGAGAGAGACAGGGGCCTGGACCAGCTTTGTTCCCAGGCAGGTGGGCAGGTGAAGATGCCACAGATGAGCTGTGGACCCAGAAGTTACAGAAGACCCTGGGTTTCTGTCCTCCATGTTTGGGTGAATGGTGGTGATGTTTCCTGTGATGGAGGGCCAGGGCCGGGAGGTAGTTTCAAGGAGGAAGAGGGATGAGAGTTTGTACTTGCCATGGGTGCATTTACATCACATGTGCAACAGACATGCAGGTGGGGGTACTGGAGGGCTACAGCTTGAGGTGGAGACCCAGGCTGGAGATTTAAATCTGGAAATCACTGGAGTAGAGCTGGTCTGGCTGAGGTCACCTAGATAGAGAAGAGAAGGCGGTGAGGCCAGCCCCAAAGTCTTCCCAATGCTAGGAGCTCAGAAAGAGCATCAGCAGAGAGTGAGGAATAGTCTCTATCAAAGCTGGAGGGAAACCTGGGGAGTGTGTTGCCATGGAAACCAAGGGAAAAATATTTCACAGAGGAGGCAGCGGTCAGTCCTATCAAGTGCTCCTGAGGTGCAGAGTAAGATGAAGACTGACAATGGACTGCTGTTGTCAAGACGGTTGTCGGTGACCCTGGCACAGCAGCTTCAGTAGACAGATGGGGACAAAAGTCTGATTCCCCTGAGCTGAGCTGAGAATCGTGAGGGAGTGGTCCTACTGTATCCAGACATTGGTTTCAATAACACCTACTGGGAAGGAAAGCAGAGACATGAGGCTTCATCTGGACAGAAATGTGAGACCCAGGGACAATTTTTGTTTCATTTGATGTGGGAGATACTAAGATGAGTTTGGGCGTGTACCACCGACAATATAGATGGTACGAAAAATGAAGACACAAGAGAGGGGAGGGGACGCTGGGGCTTACCAAGGAGCCAGGTTTTCTACCGCTGAAGTATTCTCAAAAGCAAAGAATGTAAGGGCTCTTTCTCCATGGGCAGATCAAAGCTCCCTGCAGATTGCCACAGTAACCCACAGAAATTCTTATTTTGATTTGTTTTTTGTTTTTGTTTTTGTTCTTTTTTTTTTAGATGTGATCTCTCCCCGTTGCCCAGGCTGGAGTGCAGTGGCGCCATCTCGGTTCACTGCAACTTCTTCTTCTTGGGTTCAAGTGACTCTCTTGCCTCAGCCTCCCAAGTAGCTGGGACTACAGGCACCCACCACCACGCCTGGCTAGTTTTTGTATTTTTTTATTTTCTTAGTAGAGATGGGGTTTTGCTATGTTGCCCAGGCTGGTCTCGAACTCCTGGCCTCAACTAATCTATCCCCCTTGGCCTACCAAAGGGCTGGGATTACAGGATGAGCCACCGTGCCCGACCTCATTCTGACCTTAAATGTTCTCAGTATCTAGACATCAGTACTTGGCTTATATACTCAATACCTGCCTTTCCCTCCATTGTGGGCCAGGCTATTTCCATTCCTGCCCATTTCAGTTAAATAGATTACTTAGGAAATAGCTAAGCTTTGTAGAAACAAAAATAACAGCATAATACTCTCATTAATAAGTCCTGAATCACTGATAACATTTAGCAATATTTTGGAAAGATGAAATATTTTAATTTACCATTCTTCAGTGTGAAACTGACCTTCTTTCTCTTCTGTTTCAGTATCTTATTCTAACTCATACTCGTTTCAGAGAGGGTTTCAGACTCTGAAACGAGTATTATTTCTTCAGGTCATCTTTGAGATTCTGACTTTCTACTTTGGTTTCCATACCTTTCATGTCTACACTCACAGACACATGTACATCCATTCAGTCATGTGTACATCTGCATGTAAGTACATGTACATAAGTATTCTTCCTTTCACTTGTTGCTTCCTTTTACAACTTTTCAGTACCTCACTTCTACCCCAGTTGATAGGCTATGGCCCAAGTTTGCATTTTGAATGTCCCTCTAGTCTTCTGCTTGTATTAGCACTGATGGGGTCCTCAGGAGAGTTCAGCGGGCACCTTAAGGATGGTGACCACAGAGATTTCAGTATGGTGGTGCCTGCAGAGGAAGCTGTTGCTTGCCTTCTGTGATTGAGACGGGCACCTCTAAGAAAAGCCCAGAGTGCCACTGGGTCAAAGCACCCTGTATTATTCCTTGTTACCATTATTGCTCCCTGAACAGGGCTCTCATGTGTCTCTGTAGGATAATCCAACCTCAACACAGTGGCTGAAAGAATCTGCTAAAAAATAATTCAATGCCTGAAAATACACTGGGCTTCAAATAAACTCTAAAGAGCAAAAATTGACTCATGTGGCATGAAACAAATAATCGTATCCCAAGTAAGGGAACAGTTTCCTTTGTGTTATCAACAGGACTGTACCCCATAAGTGTCCAGGTACATTTGGTAAGAGATGGTGTTTTAACACAATTTTCTGTTGCAACAGAGTATCAGAAAAATGCACAGATTGAGAAGCTCCGGAGTGAGATCGTCGTATTGAAGGAAGAGCTACAGCTCACCAGGTCTGAGCTAGAGGCTGCACACCATGCCAGTGCGGTCAGATTCTCCAAGGTACCGGCAGAATTCTGTGGTATTTTAATTACAATTAACTGTATGTAATTCAATTATGCCATGGACTGTCATAAACAGAGGACACTTAAGAGTTTGTAGCACTTGACAAGATGATTGCATTTTTTATTGCCATAGTAGTATCTTACTACAAAGCACATCACTGGAAATATATTTCTCTATTTTTCAAAAGCCTTTTAGAAAATTGAGGTGGAATTCATATAACACACAATTAACTTTCTACAATTTTGCTTAAAACAGAAGTCTGACACTTCTCATATCTCACTGGGCTAAAGTCAAGGTGTCAGGAGGACCATATGCCTTGGTAGAAGCTGTAGAACAGAATATTTCTTGCTTATTTGGTTGCTGGCAGAGTTCAGTTCCTGGCAGGTGTAGGCCAGAGGTCTACACTTTCTTCCAGGCTGCCCACTGAGGGAGGGCTGCTCTTAATTTCCTTGTGAGGCTACCCATACTCCTGGGCTCCTGACCCTCTTCCTCCATACTCAAGGCCACCAACAGAGGGTTGAGTCTTCCTCATGCTTCCGATCTGTTTCCTTTTCTCTTTTTTCTCATTTGTGTTACCCATGTGTCAGGCCGTTTGGTGCTTGGAATTACTTGTTCAGAGATACTTGGGTTGATGAAGGGCCCAAGAGGAAAGAGGCCCATGATTCATTGAGTTCTGACTTCTGTGGGTCACTGTGGGTACACCGTGGGTACCACGCATGCCATTATTGATCCAACAGAGGGCTGACCTTGATGTACCTAATGGAGAGAGTAAGGCCATCAAAGAGCGTTTATTTCCTTGTAACTGTTGGAGTGACCGTGTGCTCAGTTCTTCCTTGTTTCCCCCATGGGGACAGGAAGTGTGACTTTCTAGGGAAAACAGCAGTCATTTCACAGAATCATTGACAGAGCCCTCTGTCTTCCACATAGGCTCACTCTTTTAAAACTGTAATATACCTATAATGTAAAATTTATCATTTTAACTATTTTTTAAGTGTACGGTTCAGTAGTGTTGAGTGTATTCACATTGTTATGGCCAATCTCCAGAACTGTTTTATATTGAAAAACTGAAACTACCCATTAAACAACAGTGCTCCCATCCCACCTCCTTCCAGCTACTTTCCATCTCTGTGAGTTTGCCTGCTCTAGATACCTCATATGAATAGAAGTGTAGAGTATTTGTCTTTTTGTCATCATGGGCTTATTTTACTGATAATATCCTCAAGGTTTATCTATGTTGCAGTGTGTGTCAGCATTTCCTTCCTTTTTCAGGCTGAATAATAGTTGATGGTATATGTCTGTATACCACATTTTGCTTATTCGTTCATCTGTTGTTGGACACTTGGGTTGCTTCCACTTCTTATCTATTATGACTGATGCTGCTATGAACAAGGGTGTACCAACATCTCTTTTAGGCAATCATTTTACACTGTACAATCCAGTAGCATTTAGTGTATTCACAATATTGTGCAACCACCATTTCTCTAGTTTCAAAACTCTCAACACCCCAGAAAAATAACCCATACCCATTAAATAATCACTCGTACTACCCTCATCCCCTGGTAACCACGAATCTTTTTATGTCTATGAATTTTCCTATTCGGTATATATCTTTTAAAAAAATCTGTAGACCAGGTATAGTGGCTCACAACTGTAATCCCAGTATTTTGGGAGGCCAAGACGGGAGAATTGCTCGAGTCCAGGAGTTCAAGATCAGTCTGTGCAACATGGTGAGACCCTGTCTCTACAAAAAATTAAAAAATTAGTTGAGTATGGTGGCATGTGCTTGTGGTCCCAGCTACTCAGGAGGCTGAGGAGGGAGGAAGATGGCTTGAGTCCAGGAAGTCAAGGCTGCAGTGAGCTGTGTTCACCCCACTGCACCCCATTTGGCTACAGAATGAGACCCTATCTGAAAAAAAAAAAGTAATATGTGACCTTTTGTGTCTGGCTTTTTTCAGTTAGCATAATGTTTTAAGGTTCATCTAAGTTGTAACATGTATCAGTACTTTTTGTCTTGCTGACTAGTATTCCATTGTATGTATGTATGTATACGTAATTTGTTTATCCAGTCATCCATTGGTGGACATCTGGTTCATTTTCACCTTTTGGCGCCAATGAATAATGCTACTATAAACATTCATGTGGCAGTTTCTATGTGGGCATATGTTTTCATTTTTCTTGATTATATACTTAGGAGTGGAATTGCTGAGTCATATGGTAGTTTTATGTCTAACTTTCTCAGGAACCACCAAACTGTCTTCCATAGTAGCTGTACCATTTTACATTTTCACCAGTAATGTTCATATTTCTCCACATCCTCACTAATACTTGTTATACTTTTCTGTTTTCTTAATTAAAGCCATCCTATTGGGTGGGTGGGAAGTGGTATCTCATCAGGTTTTGATTTGTATTTCCTTAACAACCATTATATTGAACATCTCTTCATGCTTATTGTCCATTTGTATATATTTTATTTGGAGAAATGTCTATTCAAGTCCTTTGCCCATTTGTTTAAATTGAATTGTTTGCCTTTTTTGTTGAGCTGTATGAGTTCTTTATATACTCTAATAGTTTCATCACTTTAGCTCTTATATTTAGGTCATTGATCCATTTTGAGTTAATTTTTGCATACAGATTGAGAGAGGGGCCCAACTTTATACTTTTGCATGTGATTTGTCCAGTTGTCCCAGTGCCAATTATTCAGGAGACTATTCTTTTTTCATTGAATGTTCTTAACACCCTTGTTGAAAATCAGTTGACCCTAGATGTTTGGGTTTATCTCTGGATTCTCAATTCCATTCCACTAGTCTATATATCTGTCTTGATGCCAATATCACACAACTTTGATTACTGTAGCTTTGTAGTAGACTTTGAGATTGATAAGTGTGCATCTTCCAACTTTGTTTTTCTTTTTCAATATTGTTTTGGTTATTTGTGGCCTCTTACAGTTTCATGTGAAATTGAGGATTGGCTTTCCCATTTCTGCAAATAAGGTTATTGAAATGGGATTACACTGAATCTCTTGATTGCTTAGGAGAGTATTGCCATTTTAACCATATTAAATCTACCTATCCATGAACATGGGATGTCTTTCCATTTATTTAGGTGTTCTTCAATTTTTACAACAAACTTTTACAATTTTCAGTGTGCAAGTCTTTCACTTTTTAGGTTACATTTATTTCTAGGTATTTTATTCTTTGGGATGCTATTATAAATGGAATTGTTTTCTTAATTTCTTTCTTGGATTGTTCATTGCTGGTATGTAGAAATATAACTGCTTTTTGCATGTCGACCTTGTACTCTGCAACTTTGCTGAAGTTGTTTATTACTTTAGTAGTTTCTTGCGTATTCTATTTTCTTTAAATAGCTGGTAGAATTCACCAGTAAAACCATCTGGTCCTGGACGTTTCCTTTTTAGGAGGTTGTTGATTACTAACTCTATCTGTTTATTTATTGAAAGTCTATTGAAATTTCCTTTGTCTTGGGTCAGTCTGGTAATTTATGTAGGAATTTGTCCATTTCACCTAGATTATCCAATTTATTGGTGTACAACTGTTCATTATATTCTCTTACAATCCTTTTAATTTCTCTAAGATTGGTAGTCATGTCCTCACTTTCATTTCTTAGTCAGGGTAGCTAAAAATTTGTCAGTTTTGTTGATCTTTGCAAAGAACCAAATTTTGGCTTCATCTATTCTCTCTATTACTTTCCTGTTCTTTACTTTATCTTTGCTCTAATTTTCATAATTTTTTTCTTTCTGTTGCCTTTGAGTTTGGTTTGCTCATCTTTTTCTAGCTAGGTTATTTATTTAATATTTTTCTTCTTCTTCTATATTTGTTTTTTGGAGATAGAATCTCTCTCTGTTGCCCAGGCTGGAGTACAGTGGCACAATCACAGCTCAATGCAGCCTTGACCTCCCCATTCCAAGTGGTCCTCCTACCTCAGCCTCCTAAGTAGCTGGGGTTACAGGCACATACCACCATACCTGGCTAATTTTTTTTTTTTTTAATTTTTGGTAGAGATGAGGTCTCACAATGTTTCCCAGGATGGTCTCAAACTCTTGAGATCAAGTGATCCTCCCACCATGGCCTCCCAAAGTGTTGGGATTATGGGCGTAGTCATCACACCTGGCCCTTTCTTTTTTTTAAATGTAGGCTCTTACAGCTATAAATTTCTTTCTGAGCACTGATTTGGCTGCATCTCATGAATTTTGGTATGTTATGTTTTCATTTTCATTAACCTCACAGTATCTTCCAATTTCCCTAGTGAGTTTTTCTTTAACCCATTGGTTGTTTAAGAGCATGTTGTTTAATTTCCACGTATTTGCTAATTTTCCAGTTCCCTTCTGTTACTGATTTCTGGCTTCTATTGTGATCAGAGAAGATTCTTTACATGATTTTGATCTTTTTAAATCTGAGAAACACTTTATGGACTAAAAAAAGGTCTTCCTGGTGAATATTCCATGTGCACTGAAGAAGAATGTATATTCTGCTGTCGTTGGGTACAGAGTTCTATATATGTGTGTTGGGGCTAGTTGGCATATAGTGTTGTTCAAGTTCTCAATTTAGATTTGAAAAATCCTGAAGGTCATTGAGAAATCAAGTGCTAACCTTGAATCTAGCTCCTATAAATCTGAATTTGTATTTTCTGGTGGTGGGATGGAGTTATGCTACCCAAATTGCTACGGTGTCAAGAAATGTTCTTTTATTGCTCAATATATGTTTTCTTTAAAGTATATTTACATTTTATAGATTATGGTATGACTTTTATACAAGTTCACAGAACACAAAAAGCTGGAGGCCTCGGGCCTCTCTGTTGTTATTTTAAGGGATGTAAGGACAAGAGGATTCTGTGTGCTGCCTTTAGTTTAGAAAAATCTTTGTGCACAGACCTGCCATGATAGGAAATGTTATTACAAGCCCAACTGAAATAAGCAATACTAGCTAACATTTTTGAAGTGATGCTATGAACTTTTATTTTAAATATTGCTTATTTTCTTCAGACCAGAACTTTTAAAGCTGTGTATTAAAATAATTTCAGGAATATGAAATGCAAAAAACAAAAGAGGAAGACTTTTTGAAGTTATTTGATAGGTGGAAAGAAGAAGAAAAGGAGAAACTAGTTGATGAAATGGAAAAAGTCAAGGAAATGTTTATGAAGGAATTTAAAGAATTAACTTCAAAGAATTCAGCATTAGAATATGTAAGTATTAAACCTAGAAGTTCTTATGGTATTGATTGCCTTGAGAGGTGGTGTTAGGATGGCATTAAGGCCAGGGGATCCAGCAGTTACTTTACGGTACCCTGGTGCAGACATTCTTCTCCCCGAGAGTCTTGAGGGAGGCATAGAGGCGACAGAGTGAGTCAGAGGTGTTTTGCTGAGAATGGGAGCTTTGGCCTTAAACTCCAGTGCAGAACACTCGTGGTGAGATATAGAAGACCCTCTTCTATGAAGGTCCCTCTTTTCTTGTCTGGTTAGGTTAGCCTTGAACTGTAAACTCCTCCCTGAGTTTTGGAACTTTCCACTGTCCAGTGGGAATGGAAGAAAGCAGACCCAGAAAGACTAAGAACCCTTGCCAGGCCCCCTCCTCAACCCAGGCCCGGGTAGGATCTCTAAAGCAAGCAAGTTATGGCTAAATGAGCCCCTCTCCCTTATGGGAACAGCCCTGGTCCATACAGCCCTGGCCTCATGCGTAGATGATACCTGAGCTGCTTCTTTAGAAAGCAGCAGCCAATCCATCAGTGTCCTCCTGCTAAGAATTCTAAGCTCCCTGGTTAGATTTGACGAGACTCTTCTTTGGGGAAAAGGTAGAAAGGAAGGGAGCTGAGCAAAGGTCCTTGAGCTCCCTCTAGGGGCCAACAAGTTTTATAAACAAAAATAGAGAGATTTTTGGAATTCACCTGAGGGCTTTCCTAAAACTCTTTAAACTCTAGCATGAGGTTTGGTGAACGATGGCCCATGAACCAAGTCCAGCATACCACCTGATTTTGAATGGCCTGTGACATAAGGATAGTTTTTACATTTTTACTTTTTATTTTTTTCGAGGCAGAGTCTCTGTCACCCAGTCTGGAGGGTAGCGGCACAATCTTGGCTCACTGCAACCTCTGCCTCCTGGGTTCAAGTGAGTCTCGTGCCTCAGCCTCCTGAGTAGCTGGGGTTACAGGCACATGCCACCACACCCAGCTAATTTTTGTATTTTTGGTAGAGACGATTTCACCATGTTGGCCAGGATGGTCTCAAACTCCTGGCCTCAAGTGATCCTCCCACTTGGGCCTCCCAAAGTGCTGGGATTACATGTGTGAGCCATTGTGCCCAGCCAGTTTTTACATTTTTAAAATGTTGGAAAAAAAGAAGACTATTTTGTGACACAGGAAAATTTCATTAAAGTTCACATTTCAGTGTCATGAGTGAAGTTTTATTGAAACACAGCCATGTTTGGTAATTTACGTGCTGTCGGTGGCATTTTTGTGCAGGAGCGGTATAGTTGAATGTTTTGTCTGAGACCTCGTGTTATGAATCTACATGATTTATAACTGTTGCTATTGAGCTTGGCTACCTGGCTGAGGTAGTGTTTGTCAGGTTTGTCCACCAAAGAATTTCTCTTTTTTCCTCCTTTCCCTGCTGTCCTTTCTGAAATGAAGTCACTATGAGCAGCCTACACTGAGGAGAGGAGAAGTGCGCTCCCCTATCCTTTTGTTTTTGAAGTTAACATGTTACCTTCTGTGGTCTTCTGAGGGTTTTTGCCATGAGTAACATTAGGAACAACATCAAAAGAAAAGGGTAAAATTAAAACGTTATGTCCCTAATGGATTTACTGATGTGGTCCCTGGACAGTGTTGGCCTCTCACTAAACTAGCTTAAGAACCAGGTGCATTCAGTTCTTCTGTTTCTGGTGCCTATTAAGTGCCCATAAAAAATTTTAAGCCCCAGCTGGGCCTGATGGCTCACACCTGTAATCCCAGCACCTTGGGAGGCTGAGGTAGGCAGATTGTTGTGTAAGCCCAGGAGTTTGAGACCAGCCTGGGCAACATGGCAAAACCCTGTCTCTACAAAAAAATACAAAAATTAGCCAGGTGTGATGGTGCACGCCTGTAGTCCCAGCTACCTGGGGTGGGGTGCTGAGGTGGAAGGATTGCTTGAAACCAGGGGTTGAGGCTGCAGTGAGCCATGATCATATCACTGCACTCTAGCCTGGGCAACAGAATGAGACCCTGTCTCAAAAAAAAAGAAAAAAAAAATAGACTCATTTAAGATTAGAAAGTTAGATTTTCCTTCCCCTTTTTTCACCCTGTACATATTCTCATAGGAAGACCAGCAAGCAGTAGAAACAAACCAGTAAAACCACAGGGAAGCAGAAGTGGGAGAAGCTTCCAAGAGCATCCAGGAGCATCCAAGAGGGCAGTCAGATTTAAAACACAGCTACGTGCTCCCTGATTTTATTCTCCGTTTCAGTCTTATAAAAGTCTAACTGTAGTACTGAGCTTGAATTTTATCTTATAGCAACTGTCAGAAATCCAGAAGTCCAATATGCAGATCAAGTCCAACATAGGCACATTAAAAGATGCACACGAGTTTAAAGAAGACCGTTCTCCATATCCCCAGGATTTCCATAATGTCATGCAGCTTCTTGATAGTCAGGTACGTGCAAGTGGGTGACAGCTGCAGTGGATGCCTTTCTTTTTCTTAGCGAAGTAATTTACAGTGAGTGTCATCTGCAGAAAAAGTGTGTGTCTTTTTCAGTAACCATGAAAGTGACTAGCTCTTATTTTTCTCCTGCAACATGCCTAAGTCGTAAGAGGTGTTTGTTACACGCTTGCTGTTGGCAAATAGCATACACAACAGTTGGCAAAACTGTTTTGTTTCTTCTCTCCATAAAATCAATTTGAATTGGTTAGTATAACCTAGCTATTCATTTTTCATCTTTCAGATGTAGCTTTCAATTTCAAAAGGCGTAGAAGGTCATATTGAAGCACCTGATTTAGTTTTAGAGCTTAAATATACTGCTAATTGTATTTTTAGTAGAAATGGAGTTTGACCATATTGGCCAGGCTGGTTTCCTGACCTCAGGTGATCCACCACCTTGGCTTAATTAGCTGGACGTGGTTGCAGATGCCTGTAATCCCAGCTACTTGGAGGGCTGAGCAGGAGAATTGCTTGAACCCAGGAGGCAGAGGTTGCAGTGAGCTGAGATCACAGCATTGCACTCCAGCCTGGGCAACAAGAGTGACACTCAGTCTCAAACAAAATATATATATATATATGTGTGTGTGTGTGTGTGTATACATATGTGTGTGTGTGTGTGTATATATACGTGTGTGTGTGTATATATATACGTGTGTGTATATATACACATGCACACACACACGTATATATACATACACACGTATATATACACACACATATATATGTATACACACACACATACACACACACACACACACACAGCTAACTGGCCAACTGATGATCTCTTACATTTATGAGACAATAACTTTTATTTGGAAGTGAACTTCTGTAATCAGCACAATCTTCATCATGGCTATTTTGGTCACAGCGGTTTAGGGGAACAATTTTTTTTAAAATAAGAAGGAAATAAGGGATAGAGCCTATTAATTTAGGATTTTTTTTAAAAAGCCTGGGTCATTCTAAAAAAGGTAAGTGGACTTTGGAAATAGGGATCACTGCTTCTTGCTTCAGTGCTCACGTCTTTCCTCCCCTACCCAAATCTACGTGCTCCCCTTCAGTCAGGCTGACCATGTCCCTGTCCTGTCTGAAGTCCTTCAGTGACCCTTATTCTGGACTTCCCACCAGCTTGCAGGGTCCTTTGGGTTCTGATCCCTGGGACATCTTTCTCTGTTCTTTGCTTTCCTGGCACTCCAGCGGCCCAGCAGCCCATGCCTCTGAGAACATGGCCTTCTGTCTTCTTCCTCAGCTCTGGCTGCCTTCCTGCCTGTCCTGCAGCTCCCAGTTTTCGGGACCTGTCTTTTACTCATTCTTTAGTATTCAGCCAGGGGGGCAGGTACCACTTTCAGAAAGTTCTCCTGAGCCTCTAGGCTATAGCATTTCTGTAGTCCCTAAGTGGGACCTGATCACATACACATTGTATGTGGATTCTCCATGGCTGTGTCTACTCACCTCCCATGCAGAGCAGGGCCTGTCTCTTAATCTTCTTTTAGCCTGCCAGTGGCCATCCAGCGAGGTGCCTGGTATATAGTAGGAAACCAGGAGCTGTGTCCTGAACCGAACTGTTGACATCTGCTTCCAGCAGGCTGGAAACTACAGCTGGTCACTCATGAACTGAAGGACATGGTTCTAAAATCCTAAGGTCCCACCTAAATTTCTTCTATTTCTGTTCTGTGAGTTGTGTTGTCAGTTCAGAACCCATGGCCTCAGAAACCTTGCTGTTTCCTTTTGGCCTCTTAGGTTGGCAAACTAGCACCTACTTTTGTAAATAAAGTGTTACTGGCTATGTCCCAGTAACATTTTATGAGTGCTAGTTCATTTACATCTTATCCATGGCTGTTGTCCCAATACAGTTGTGGGATGACACAGCTGTATTGTGTTGTGTTGTGACCAAGTTGTTTGGCCCCCAGAGCCTATGATATTTACTATTAGCTCCTTACTCAAAAATTTTTGCTGACCCCTGCCTTATGGTATAAGATTAAAACCAGATGCAAATGTATTTAAGCATTTTTGACTGTGTATATTCTAAAAAACACCAGCTGTATTAGTCTGTTCTCACACTGCTACAAAGAACCACCTAAGACTGGGTAATTTATAAAGAAAAGAGGTTTAATTGACTCACAGTTCCATAGGCTGTACAGGAGGCATGGCTGGGGAGGCCTTAGGAAACTTACAATCATGGCAGAAGGACAAAGGGGAAGCAAGCATGTCTTAAGATGGTGGAGCCAGGAGAGAGAGAGCGAAGAGGGAAGTGCTACACACTTTTAAACAACCAGATCTTGTGAGAACTCACTCACTATCATGAGAACAGCAAGGGGGACATCCACCCCCATGATTCAATCATCTCCCACCAGGCCCTTCCTCCAACACGTGAGATTTGAGTGGGGACAGAGAGCCAAACTATTTCACTAGCTAAAATTTTACCAGATAGATAGTTGGGTTTCATAGGTATTCACTAAAAAGGAAGCTTCCATATTGCATAGATCTCATTGTTACAGTTGTACATAAATTATTCTTTTATTTTGTAGGAAAGCAAATGGACAGCTCGAGTTCAAGCTATTCATCAAGAACACAAGAAAGAGAAGGGTCGGGTAAGGTTAAGAAACCAATGGCTTAAAGTGGGCCATGTTTTAAAGGAATATTTGCTTTTCTTTTTCATAAACATAATATTTGTCCACTTAATAACATTTGGGGAGAAATGTGTAGCAAAATTAAAATTACCTATAATTCTAACACGAACAATAACCACTGCTACTACTTTCTTATAATTTGTTTCAGTTTTCTTTTATGCATTTCTGTAAGTGTAGAACCTCATATATACATAGCTTTACAACATTTGAATTATGTTTTATAGGTTTGTACACTTTTCACTTTCTATATCATAGACCTTTCCTAAGTTTTAAAGTATTCTTCAAAATCATGACTTTTAATGATGTCATGATGATCTTATTGGATGTATCATAAGTTACGTAATCATTTCTTCATTGTCAAATACATATTTCTGATTTTTTTTGCATCACAGAACTGCAATGTAAGTAATTTTTTAAAAAGGCAAGAACTGTTTACATTAAAATCACTTTAATGAAAACAAGCTTTTAATTACGACACTGATTCTCTTTCACCTGAGTACATCAGAAATTTAAGTGTTAAAATGTGTTTACACTAGTGCAAAACATCTAAAGTAGATGTATTTGAGAAGATCTTAAAATAGGAAAACTTCTGTTTATTTTTTCACTTGAAATTGTATTTTGTACCTTAGTATTTCTTGTAGATCTTTTCTGAATGGAAAAAATGTTTCCTCTTTTGCACATTTTCTAATATTACCTTTCTTAGTAGAATATTAAACAACAAAAGATCATATAATATATATGTGTATAATTGCTAGGATGAAGTGTGTTCAGATGATCAAAAAATTTATCAGCTTATATTTCTCCAAAGTGGAACAAATACTGAGGAAGATGGGGGTAAAAAAGAAACTGTGAACAGTACTAGAGCCAAACTAAAGCAAAGCAAACAAAAACTAAAAATATTTCACAAAATATCTGCAGTTCTTGAGGAACTTCGATGGGAAAGTTAGACATTAATCTACCTTTAAGATTGTATCATTTCCAGAAAATGAAATAGGAACCACTATTTTTCCTCTATTCCATGTATAATATCATTTCATCATGCAAATTTATAGTGATAATACACAGACATAAAACCAATATACATATCTATATACATACACATATACAGTATATTGAAAATTGTATCACTGATGTGGCAGTTCAATTTAGGAGATATTTACTGAGCATCTGCTATGTACTACACTTTATAAGGCTTAAAAGAGGTGTGGAACAATGCCTGCCCTCAGACTGCTTACAGTACAAAAGGAGAGTAGGAGTGAGGCTACAGATATGGGAATCAGGATGGGATAAATGCAGAGTACCCTAGGGACTGAACGGAGAGAGTTTCTTGAAGTGGGGTTAGGGCTGTGTGTGGATCATGCCCACGTTTACTTCTTCAGCCTAAACAACTCTTCTGAGTTCCAGATTAGGTAGCCAGCTTGTACTCGACATCTCCATGGGCTTCTCAAGTGCAACGTGCCTAAGATGAAGTTCTTGGGTTTGTTCCCCAGACGTGGCAAATGTCACCCTCGTTCCTCCAGATGCTCATCTTGATTCCACCTTTCTCTCTCCCCGAGTCCAGGCTGTCTGCAGGGCTCGCTGTATGGAACCAGTTCTTCTGTTTCCTGTTGCCTCTACCACTAACTAAGCCTCCATTTCTGAATGGGCCCCAGGGTCTCCTCAATTCCAGCCTTCCCCTTCCTTAGTTTGCTCTCCACAGAGCCAGAAAAATAACCTGGCTGCTGGCCACCATTCTAGCCTCAGCCTGACCACCCTCCCCCCTCCCGGAACCTCCTCTTTCCAGCTACGATTCTAATTCTAATTCTGCTAATTTCTAGAACATTCTGGCCTTTTCCTCTTTTATACCTGGTTGTCATTGTTGGGAAGCCCTTCCGCTTTCTCTTCACATGGCTACCTCCTTGCCCTCGGTATGAGTTTTCTATTCTGTGTAGCAAATGACCACAAATTGAGTGGGTGAAAATGGCATGTATTTCTCTTCTCAATGTATAGGAGTCCAGGCAGGGCTTGGACTCAGGGACTCACAGGCTGCATTGAGAGTGTCAGCTGGGCTTTGTTCCTGTCTGGGGTTCCTTGTGGTTATTTGAAGGGCTGAGACTATTAGGTCCCAGAGGCTACTCCTTCTCCATAGCAGTATACAGCATGACGACTTCAAGGCCAGTGAGAGTGTGTCTCTCTTGCTTACATTCTTCAGGAAGGGCCTGGGACTTCTTACTTTTTGGTTTTTTTTTTTCTTTTTGGTGGGACAGAGTCTCACTCTATTGCCCAGGCTGGAGTGCAGTGATGCCATTTTGGCTTACTGTAACCTCCGCTTCCCGGGTTCAAGTGATTCTCCTGCCTCAGCCTCCTGAATAGCTGGGATTACGCGCCACCATGCCGAGCTAATTTTTGTATTTTTAGTAGAGACAGGGTTTCATCTTGTTGGCTTGGCTGGTCTCGAGCTCCTGACCTCAGGTGATCCACCTGCCTTGGCCTCCCAAAGTATAGGGATTACAGGCGTGAGCCACCATGCCCGGCCTGGAACTTCTTTTAGGGGGCTCACCTGAATAAGACAGGCCAACACAGGATAATCTTCGTTTTCATAACCTCAAAGTCTGCAGATTTGGGACTGCAATTGCATCTCCAAAGTCCCTTCACCTTTGCCATATTCTGTGGTTGAGAAGCACAATGTTCTCTTCAGACCAAGGGACAGCATCACACAGGGGTGTACACCAGGAATGCAACCTTGAGAGCCCCCTGAGAACCCTGCCTACCCCACTGCCTCTGGCCTCTGGGCCCTGGTCACCTGATGTCACTCTATCCAAGTAGGTAGTCCCTTTTTTTATTATTCCCATCACATCTCAAGCAGAGCTCTGAGCACTATTTTAAATAGTTTACTTGCTTATTTGTTTCCTTGTTTGTTATCTGTCTCTCCAATCATATCCTTGGCCCTCTGAGTAAAGGGCTCTATCTGTTTCGCTCTCCATTGTCTTCCCAGCATCCACTCATGTGCCTGAAATGTGGTTGGCACTCGCTACACACTTGCAGAATGAAAGTGGAAGGTAGCTAGACGTCTAGCCAGGGCATCATTCAGCCTTGTTTTCATAGTTGGAGAAAGGCTGATTGTAGGGTTCAGAAGAGCAGGGTTACCCGAGTTGTCTGGAGGTCTAAGCACCATCTTCTGTAGGGAGGACACTAGTCCAGGTTTCCACCCTGCACTTAGGGAGCTGCCCCCGTGACAATGACTGTGTAGTTAGGACGATGGCATTCACCTCCCAGCATATTTTATCTATGGCAGCTAAGATGCAGGATCCCAGGAGCAGTGGACAGTAGTTTCTCCGCACCACAAGTGGCTCCACTGTGCAAGGAGTGTTCTCCTTTGTCCCCCTGCGTTACACGGAAGCAAACGTGGCCCGTTCTTACCGTTCATGTCCTGGTGTCCTGGCGCTGACTCATACTGGCTCTCAACTGTGCACATTTCTCCTCATCAGGGTGTTTTGTTTTGTTTTGTTTTGTTTTGAAAGCTGATTAACCAGCATACCATTGGTTTCATGGGAACATTTAGAAATAAATGGATATTTGTAGTTGCCAAATACTTAATCCTTCGAAGAGTTCTATGAGGTAGGTGCTGTCACCCATTTTACAGGTAAGGAAACAGGGGCTTAGACAGATGCTGTCTTGCCCACAGTCACTGGTATTTGAATGCAGGCCCTGTATACTCCAGGGCATACTACACTGGCTGGCCTGTCTAGCTCCAGGCACTCACCTGTGAAGCTCCCAGCTGGGAAGGAAAACAGGCAGTGACAGCTTCGAGTGGTTGCTTTTCTGTAAGAACGCAGGATCTTTTCTTTGGTTGCTCTAACATGGTATTCCCTAACCAGGGATGCACTTCGGAATTATCTGAGACTGTTTTCCAAAGTACACGTGACCAGCTCCACTCCCTGAGATCTTGATTTAGTAGGTGAGTCTGGGACACATGGATTTTGGAAATAAACAAACCAAAAGCCACCCAGGCTATTCTGTTTTGGATCTATGGTTTGGACCACTGCTCTTAGATCATTAAAATCCCTACTCTTATTCTTCAGGCCATCTTTCTAGCATTGGTATTTAAGAACAGAATTCAGGTTTCTTTATTAATCGGTGGGCCGAGGTTGGGGGCAGAGTTTTTAAATCCTGGCCCCTTTAAAGCCATCTGTATTTCAAAGCAGTTGTGGGAATTTCAGTGGCCTCTGGCTGGAATAGAAAGCGAGTTACAGTTTTTACACTTTGTCATTGTGAGTCATGATAGAGAGAAAGACTGACGGTTGTCACTGAGGAAGAAGGTGAGGCCTTTCCTGGTTTTGAGTGGGGCACATCTCATGTACTGGGTATGTGAGGGGGATTTGTGCCACCGCTAGGCTGCACTCCTTCCTTGTCTGTTGATTTGGCTTGTTTAGAAGCTGCTTACCTCTCCCTTCTTTTCTCTTAAACCCTAACAGAGGGGTGAATTCAATCAGGTTTAGTAATCTCTGCCTGAGACCTAACTATTAATTATTCCACATGATTGGTGCCTGCTATTCCCACAATGCACATATTGTATTTCTCTGTTTAGGGGAAGTTGCATTTGCCAACTTTCTATTGATTTACCTAGATTCTTGGCAATTTTTTTTGTTTTAAATAACATTGGTAAGAGTTCAGAGGCAGTCACAGATAAGCGATGGCATGCCCTTTTTACCCAACAGAAGACCCTTGAGAGCTTGGGAGGTTGTCAAATGGTCACATAATGAAGGAAGGGAGGATGGAGTGATGTGGACCGGTAGGGAAAAATGCGTAGTGCTTGAAATGGGATAATAGAAAATGGGCTCATGAGCTGCAAACTTCAAAAAAATTTCTGGCTGTGTTTGCCTAGACCCTCTCCATTCCTCTCCCCACAAACTTAGATTTTCCCCCGTCTCCTTTCTTCCTGGGGCCTGGAGCAACTCCCCATGTAGTTGATCAAGGCCAAGATCCTAAACCTCCATCCGGCAGCCTGGACATTTTTACTGGCTTTTCCTTCTATTTTCCAGCTCAGCGTTTCCCAGACTGCTTTGGAGGCCACTTTTCCAGGGGCCTGTAAGGATGAAAGCTCTTGGCAATGCCCTCCTTGGGGGAGGTTCTTAGTATCCACTAGGATAGGAAAGATTCTTTTTAGGTTTCACTCGGAAAATCTTTCTAGATTGGTTCCACCCAGTGTTTGTCCAGCCTCATAGGATCACGGAGATTTCAGAGGCAAAGCCATGCAGGATGCTAAGACACTGCTTTTTTTTTTTTTTTTTTTTTGAGACAGGGTCTTACTCTCTCGCCCGGGCTGGAGTGCAGTGGCATGAGCATAGCTCACTGCAGCCCCAACCTCCTGGGGTCAAGCAACCCTTCCACCTCAGCCTCCCGAGGAACTAGAACTACAGGCTCACCCCACCACACCTAGCTTAAGTTTTAAAACTTTTTGTAGAGACAGGTCTTACTGTGTTGCCCACGCTGATCTCCAACTCCTGGACTCCAGCGATTCTCCCTCCATAGCCTCCCAAAAAAGCACCGACCTTGAAACGTGCATGTGAAAGTTTAAGTCTGGGCTCTGCCCCCTTCAGCTGTTTCAATTAGGGCCAGTGACTTTACCTTTCTAGACTTGAGTTTTCCTATCTGTACAATGGGGCCAAAACATGTGTCCGTAAAATTGTGGCATGGACTCAGCAAAATGAAGTGCATCCAGTACACAGTGAGTGTTAATTTTCTAAAAGCAAGCAAATGAGGAAATGCTGGTCTAGGTGCCCTTATATGCTTATCTCAGGCATGGATACTTCCTGCTCCTTTATTTGATCAGCATCCCCTGTCACCACTTCCAGGCCATAGACTTGGAATGTCCTTCACCCCAATTATCAAGCCTTTTTTTAAAAATTTTTTATTTTTTTGAGATAGAATCTCACTCTGTCGCCCAGGCTGGAGTGCAATGACATGATCTCAGCTCACTGCAGCCTCTGCCTCCTGGATTCAAAAATTCTCCTGCCTCAGCCTCCCGAGTAGCTGGGATTACAGGCGCCCATCACCACACCTGGCTGATTTTTGTATTTTTATTAGAGATGGGGTTTTGCCATTTTGGCCAGGCTGATCTCAAACTCCTGACCTCAAGTGATCTGCCTGCCTCGGCCTCCCAAAATGTTGGGATTACAGGCATGAGCCATGGTGCCTGACCTCAAGCGCCCCCCACCCTTTTTTTTTTTTAAACTTTCTCTGTTTAAACAACTACTGAAATTGCTTTAAGCACCTTTCCTTCAATTATTGAAAACAAATTCTTCTTGAATTCTTTTTGTCCAGTCTATGATCTTCCATGACATTATCTCTAAAGATGAATATATCTGCGTGTCTGTGTCCTCTGCTTCTCTCCCTTACTTTCCCTCCCTCCCTCTTTCCCTCTAATCTCCATCATCCCCCCTCTTTTTCTCAGTAAACATTTATCAGTAAACATTTCTCAGAGAACCTGCTAAGGGCCAGGGATTGGGCTAGTTTCTGGGAATATAAAATAATTAAGATGTGGCTGGGCATGGTGGCTCACACCTATAATCCCAACACTTTGGGAGGCCAAGGCGGGTGAATCGCCTGAGGTCAGGAGTTCGAGACCAGCCTGGTTAACATGGTGAAACCCCGTCTCTACTAAAAATACAACATTTAGCCAGGTGTGGTTGTGTGGGCCTGTAATCCCAGCTGCTCAGGAGGCTGAGGCAGGAAAATTGCTTGATCCCAGGAGGCAGAGGCAGCAGGGAACCAAGATTGCTCCACTGCACTCCAGCCTGGGTGACAGAGCGAGACTTCATGTCAAAAAAAAAAAAAAAATTAAGATGTGCTCTCTGGCCTAGGATGGGCCAGGAGGTGGCATGTGAAGAACAGGACTGCAGGAAAAATTTAGTACTGAGGGTCAGAGCCACTCTGCAGGAGAAGCCTGAATCCTTTATCATTGCTCATCATGTGTTATTTCATGTTATGTGCTCTAGTTGGCTTAGCTGCTCCCAGTATCAGCATTGTCTGGGGTCATGAGCTCCCTTGGGAACACAGATGAAGCACCTAGAGCAGCCAGGGTCAGGATCTACCATGATCAAATATTTTTTCAATGGTTTGATGTGCATGGATAGCATCAGGCCAGCAAAACAGGCAGGGCACGTACCTGAAATCTGGAGAATGAAGACATTTGACATGCAGCTTACAGACAGATGCCTTTCTTAACTGTTTTTCAGCTCCTGTCACATATAGAGAAACTTCGAACCTCAATGATAGACGATCTAAATGCTAGCAATGTTTTCTACAAGAAAAGGATAGAAGAGCTAGGGCAGAGACTTCAGGAGCAGAACGAGCTGATTATAACTCAGAGACAGCAGGTATGTCTGGCGACAGTGTGGCACCGTGCTTCTTTAAGCAACGCAGTCTATCTAAGAACATGTGTTTTTTACTTTAGAGCATTTGTAAGTGGTATAAGGTGAGGAAGATGGAATATTTTTCCCCTTGTGATTGCTTATAAAAGCTAGTGCAATAAAATACATTTTTAAAAGGTATTTAAAAGTAATATGTTGAAGATTTATACAGTTAAAGTTCAAAATTAATTTGATTTGAAGGTAAATAAGAATTTCATTCAGTAATTACCCTGAGAAGCAGCCAAATCCAAATGCAACTTAAAAAACTTTTTTTGTTATTTTATTTTAGACTCAAGGTGTACATGGAGAGGTTTTTTACATGAATATATTGTGTAATGGTGAGGTTTGGGTAATAACTTTTGCCTCTATGCTTTTAAAGTCCACAAGCCCTATGTCCCTGGATGATTTAGTGAAAAGGTTAATTTACTAACAACAGTATCTGTCCATTATCCCATGTGTGTGTCCCTGTCTAACTTCAGACATATCACTAGAAGACTGTATTTCTTTGCAGATTAAAGACTTTACCTGTAATCCAGTAAACAGTATCAGTGAACCCAAAGGTAAGTGGATGGGATCCCGGTGCTGGCAGCGAGGGGACCTCCCCAACTGCGCTGGGCTTCAGAAGAATGTGGGCCCCACTTGTTTATGTGTGCTAAGATGGCATTCTTCTTGTTGTATTAATTTGGTAGGTTTGTCCTCTATTATTCTAATTTGAGAGATTTGTTACCACAACTCAGAAAGGTGAAGAATTTAAAAAATCTAAACTATCACGTAGTTGTTTCATTTTTTTAATCAGAGTACTTTTAGGCACATAATACCTACTTGGGAACCATTTGCCTCTTAACTTACACACCGTAGAACAGAGTTATGTGTATAAACGCACAGGGTCTGTTGACAGATTGGGTTCACCTGCCATCTCTGGCACTTCATAGCTTTGTGAATCTCTGCCTCAGTTTCCTCAGCTTTATAGTAGGAATATGAATAGTGTTTCAGTCTGTTTTCTCTGCTATAATAGCATACCACAGACTGGTATTTATAAAGAAACAAAGTTTCTAGAGGCTGGGAAATCCAAGAGCATGGTGCTGACGTCTGGTGAGGGTCAACCTATGGTGCAAGGCATCACCTGGCCAGCTAATGCATGGACAGAGAAAGGAAATTGGGCCAAACTCATCTTTTAAAATCAGGAACCCACTCTCAATAACCAACCCATTCCTGCCACTATTGCGATGTAACATTGTTACAATGGCAGTTAAATTTCAACTTGCATTTTTGAGGGGACATTCAAGTCATAGCAAATAGTAACTACATCATAGGCTTGTTATGAGGATTAAATGGGATAATATACCTATTAAGCCCTCATTAAGTTAGCCATTATTATTGATATTAAGCTCTTAGTAGGCCAGGCACAGTAGCTCATGTTTGTAATCCCTGCACTTTAGGAGGCCAAGGCAGGAAGATCACTTGAGGCCAGGAGTTCAAGACTAGCCTGGACAACACAGCGAGTCCCCCTTCTCTAAAAACAAAAAATAAAAAATGAGCTGTGCATGGTGGCAGGTACCTGTAGTCACAGCTACTCAGGAGGCTGGGGTGGAAGAATCACTCGAGCCCAGAAATTCAAGGCTGCAGTGAGCTGTGATTCCACCACTGCACTCAAGACTGGGTGACAGTTTGAGAGACACATCTCTAAAAAAACAAAAACCAAAGAACTCTTAATTATTCTAAAGTGCTATAAAGGCTTGCTGCGTTTTTCTCAACTGTGGCTGTTTTGGGGTTATAGGTTTGTTCTGTGCTTAGCGGGAATATGCACAACCTACTGACTGCACCAGTGATAGCCTGCCTACCTCCGCATCATTCAAGGTCTCTCTCTCTCTCTCTCTCTCTCTCTCTCTCTCCCTCCCTCCCTCTCCCTCTCCCTCTCCCCCTCCCCCTCCTTCCCTCCCTCCCTCCCTCTCTTCCTCTCTCTCTCTCTCTCTCTCTCTCTCCCTCCTTCTCTCTCTGTCACACATACACACACTAAACCAGTCAAGACCAGGGCAACAGCTGACTTTGCAAAAGAAAAAAAAATAAAAAAGAGACCAGAAGGGAGACTGGAAGCCACAGGTTCAGGGTCTCACTTCTGCCTAGTTTTCTTCCCGGTGATTCCAGTCCTGGTTCCTGCACGTCTCAGGTTGTTGAGGCATCTTTGTCTATTTGAGGGATGCCACCTGGGGGTGGTGCTGGGGTGTATGAGCTGGGTTTCCTCCCTCTTATTTTGAGATAGAGTTGAGGAAAGAGGGTTGTGGTTCCCTTTAACTCCTCTCAAAATAACAAGAGCTCAGGTAGGGAGGAATACTTGCAAAATTAACTAGATATCATAAATATTTGACTGAAAAATAATTCTGGGGAAAATGTAGCTTCAGAAAGATTTACGTTACGCGTATTTATTCTCCTGGTGATGTGCTATATATTGCTACGTTTCCTTTATTGTTTTTCATGGGGGCACAGATTAGGATAAGGGCTACAAAAATTTAATCCATAGCTTGTGATTTTTTTTTTGTTCATTTATTTTTCTGTCATTTCAGGAAATCCTTTAGCCTGGCAGGCTTTTGAATCTCAGCCAGCTGTTCCAGCTGTGCCTAGTAAGTTCCTATAATAGATGCAGGGCTCCAAAGGTATCTTTAAAATGTTGAACCAAAACATAACTTTTACTTACTATTTTTCGAGACTTTTCTTTGAAAACCAGTGTATTTAGAGATTGCATAATGATTTATTTTCATTCTTGGTTTTGACCTCATTCTAAAACTCAAGACTATGAATATCCACGTGATGTTGTGGTGATTTTGATTAGCCATAGCTATTATTTCACAATTTGTCTAAAAAGGGATGACTAAAAATTCCTTGGCGTCACTTTAGTTTATACTTGTAGACTTCTCAAAGTGACACACTGGGTGACTGTGTGACTGTGTGTGGTGTCACCACACTTTGGAACTGCTGACACTCTTACTGCTGCAGGCTTTGACAGGTGTCCTGTCAGTCCCCACTTGTGGTCAGCCTGGCCATCTGCTCTATCTCCTGGAGCTGTCAAGATTCTGCAGTAAACCAAAAGGACATAATCTTTACAGTTTAGAAACTGACAGGTCGTTGTTTAAAAATACTAGCTAAATAGTTGAGATAGTTTTGCTTCCATTCAGGAAGGAGTAAGGGCAGATAGCCTTGCCATGTGCACAGCAATATGACCACAAGAGGAGTATGGGCTGAGGCTGAGCGCAGGGAGATGGCACCACACACATGGGCCTAGGGATCTCAAGAGCACTGTGTAGTGACCAAAGGACATTCTTGACCGTGTTTTGGAATTTGCACTACTGGCCAGAAAATGCTGATGGTTTTAACCTCTCAGTCTTCTTGGAGGCTTCTTGAAGCCTCTCGTTGCTTCCTGGAGCTGAAGAAGTTAAGTGGTAGTTAAGGAGAGGAGCGGAGTTTAAGTGCCAAGAGCAGGGCTGAGAGAGGAAGAGATGCTGAACTTGCATCTTATGAAATGAAGGAAAAAACACATTTCAGAGAAGGATAGAAAGGTCAAATACTAACTTATTCAAACAAACAATCTTTGGCAGCTGACCAGACTCAAATATATATGCAGAAAAAACAAAACAAAAAACAAGGCTATATTTAGTTAGAGTGGTTTTCTCCAAATGGAGTATGCAAAGTTATCTATTGGAATGTGGGAAAAAATTATTAGAGATTATTTTTATGTATTAATAAATCTCACCCTTTTACTTTTTTCAAATTTTTTTGTTTTAAAATGTACATATTTGTATTATAGTACATATAAAATTCATTTAAATAAATGTGTATTTCTGGGGGAACTTTTACTGATTGGGGAATGTTGTCAAAAACTACGGATGCCACTGGCTCTAGCAAATTCCAAAAATAATTAAAAAAAATAAGCCCATAGCCCCATAGGTAGGGGTCCCTTCCAAGTGAGGCCCTGGCTCATCCCATTCCTCTTCCCAGCATACAAAAAGATCTAAAAGCCAAGGTTCTAATGATGGCAGGGAAGTTTTCATCACTTAAAAGAAAACATACACTCTAAGATCAGAAAATCTAAATCACAAAGTGAAAGTCAGCTTAGGAGATATGCAATAAATAAATCAGACCTATACCCAGTAAAATGAAGATTTGTAATGTCTAATATAAGGCAGATATGGTCAAACCTGTTGATTCCACCTGTCTATACCCTTGGTGATTTAGACACTAGTCAGTCATTTACTGATTTACTACCCTTTCATAATAAGGGAATGCATTCTGTAGTTTAGAGAAAAGACCAAATTGTGATCAATTTTAACAGCATCAGATCTTTTGATTCTGTAAGCTGGAATAATATCTAGATCAGGAATAGTTAGTATTCTGTATTTTTTTTTTCCTGTAAAAGGCCAGATAGTGATTTACATTAGGCTTCACAGGCTAGATGGTCTGTTTTGCAACTACTCAGCTCTGCCATTGTAGTGCAAAATCAGCCATAGACAATACTTAAATGAAGGAGCCATGTTCCAATAAAAACAGGCAGTGGACTGGGTATGTCTCATGGGCTATAGTTTGCCAGAACTTGATCTAGATTATGCAAGTTGCAAATGGGTACCAAGGCAGTATTTCCAGAGTTTGTTAGCAATTTACAAATAGGAATTGAACACTTTCACTAGAAGCCATTGTGAAGATAAAAAGTGTATACCCACAGAAGTAGCTGATGGCCGGGCATGGTAGCTCATGCCTGTAATCCTAGCACTTTGGGAGGCCGAGGCAGGTGAATCACTTGAGGTCACCAGTTCGAGACCAGCCTAGCCAACATGGTGAAACCCCATCTCTACTGAAAATACAAAAATTAGCTGGGCGTGGCGCTGCGTGCCTGTAGTCCCAGCTACTCAGGAGGCTGAGGCAGGAGAGTCGCTGGAGTCCAGGAGGCGAAGGTTGTAGTGAGCCGAGATCATGCCACTGCACTCCAGCCTGGGCAATGGGAGTGAAACTCTGTTTCAAAAAAAAGTAGCTGAGGTTTGTGGCCAGTACTTTTTAGGGTAAGATTAGAATTAAAATTCTGTCTTGATAAAATAAAGAAGCAGTAAACGAATAGACCAATACCGTTTAGTGAAAACAAACTGGACAAATAAATAGTCCAGAGAGGACTCTCAGATAAGAATTGTCAAATATTTGAAGAAGGCAGTAGAATCTAATTTTCTGGAGAAATTTAAATTGGAGAGCATTTAGTCTTAGTTAAGTTGGGCAAACCTCTTTCCACAGGCAGTGACTAAATTAATACCTTCACATAATGTCTTCCAGCCCAGTGATTAGAGTACTTTTCAAAACTGGTTTATTGTGCATGAATGTTCATTGCAGTGTTATTCATAATAGCTAAACAGTGGAAACAACTTATATGTCCATCAACTAATGAAAAGGTCAATAAAATGTGGTCAGTTTATAAAACAGAACATTATTTGCCCATAAAAATCCATACTGATATTTATATGCATGCTACAGCATGGATGAACCTTGATACCATTGTGTTAAGTGAGCAAATCCAGATGCAAAGGACCACATATTGTACGGCTTCATTTACTATATGAAATGTCAATAATAGGCAAATTCATAGAGATGGATAGTAGATTAATTGTTGCCTGGGGATGGGGAAGGGGCAGAAATGAGGTGTGATGGGTATTGGGAATGGGTATTTTGAGGGAGGTGATGAAGATTATGTTCTAAAAGTAGACAGTGGTTGTGGTTGCACAGCCCTGTGAATATGCTAAAAAACCACTGAATTGTGTATTTTTAAAAGGTGAACATATCTCCATAAAGCTGTTATGAATATAAGTTTATGTTAGTTGTGTAATATCTTTGTCACTTGAAATATTTGTCCCTTATGGTCTGTATGTATCTTGACTAATTTGAGGCAGATTTGGCTATCATCATGTTCGGATGCTTATGCTTTAATTATGGAACCTCTGAGTTTTTCCTTTTTATGCTGTTTCAGTGAATGCCCCAGCCCTGCACACTTCAGAGACTAAATCTAGTCTGCCAATGGCACAAGGTAAGTTTCAGTAATAGTCTCAGCGTTTTATGTGCAGTTGCCACCCGGAGTTAGATAACTTATTAACCAAAAGTGATTCTGTGGAGGTAATTTATAATAAAACAGGAAACATTTTAGTGATTGCAAAAACAGTTATTAAAACTGCAGTCTTCGTGTGTAATACTGTTGTAAACTGGACATATCCTCCAAAGTCTTAAAGTATAAAAGGTGTAGATAGGTATAAAAGGTTGCCAGACTCACAAGTAGAGATTTTAACTTGAGTAGTGTCTTGGTTATTTATGATTTTTGTGGAAAGCAGTAGGTGTTGGGTAAGAATGGTCTGCTACCAGACCAGCCAACCAGCACATGCCACAGGGCATATGTGGCTGTTTTTATAACTTTCAATGTGGCAGCAAGTCACCTTTTCTAAACAAACGGTTTGAATGACTGGTTGGGAAAATCTAGAAAAGACATGTAATGGAAACTAAAGGAAACAGGTAGGAAGCACTGGGTGAAATCATTGCCAGGGTTCAGTTCTTGGACCAGATCAAAAGGGTGATAATTGTTATTCACATGATCCAATAGACGGGCTGAATATTTGTAGCTGTATTTCACTTTTTATACAGTTAAAGTGATTACAGTTTTTACAGTATGTACTTTAACATGATGTTCTCCTGTGGTCTGTTGGATATTACAAATGCATTAAGATGGGAGAAGGGCCTCTTTTTCCTGTCTCACATACAGTTGCTGTGGAATCCAATGATTACTTCAGTCTTCTTTCATTTTTGGTCTTTTAAAAAGGTTACACGTAAATCCATGATCTAACTGGTCAGTATAGTGGCACTTTTTGTCTTCATAAATATCGTGGTCTGTATACCATGAACTTTAGTGATAATCCTTTTTATTCATGACTGACTCATGAAGTGTTTATTGCACCTTGTTTTTTTTCCCGAAGATCATTTCAGGTGGATCAGTTGTCTTGAGTATGTGATCACAATATGTGATGTATAAATTCTCCACATATTGATCTTCTTATTTACAAGTGTTTAGAGCATGCAGTTTTTTCCTTTAGACCAGTAACAGATAAAAGCACATTGGACATAAATAAATTTGCTTTAATATTGAATGTATAAGAAAAGTATCTAGCAATCATTCGGTATTCATATTATTTTATGTCAGGTCTAAAATCTCTCTGTTGCGTCCTTTTGTAAAGCACTACTGGCCACTTCTCTTTTGTACTTCAACAGTGTATTTTAGTTTCTTTTACTTCCCCGCCCCTCTACTTTGTTATCGTTTGTTTCGTAAAGCATTTCTGTATGACATTACACAAGGTCCCAGTTTCTTTGTCATATATTTTTTGTGCTAACTAAAGAACCCCGTAGGTACAATTAAGCTGTCGGGGTAATTCAAGGGTTGGACAAATCGATCATTTTCTAAAGCATGATGTTCTTGGGAGACCCCTACCCCTCACTGGCCCCAGAGCTGCGTTGAACTCAGTCATGGCCCCCTTCCCTGCTCTGCTGGGGATTGAAATGCTAGTTAATGCCAACCAGACCTGGCACAGGCCTACAGCCCTTGATGGGGATCAAGCAGCTATTTGTGAGCCATCTCAGTGGCAGGAGCTAGGAAGAGACTTGGCCAGGCCGCCAATCGTCCCACCCCATCAGGCCCAGCTTCCCCAGGGCGGCAGGGGCAGGCCAGGCTTAGTCGTGGATTGCCTAATGTTTATGTTCCGCATCGCCCGTTCGCATCCCTGTCCTTTGTTCCACTCAAAGCTGATAGTTCTTACCCACATGAACAAATCTTGCCGATTCCCTTACCATGTGGGTTGGGTCACCTGGGAAACAGACCTGATACAGAAGTTACAGTGGGACAGGGTGTCCTCGGAAGCACCTGTGAGAGAAGCAGTGGTTGGGCGAAGAGGAACGTTAAAAGCCCAGGTGCAGTGCCTGCAGTGGAGGCCTCAGCCAGCCCTGCTCAGAGCGCAGAGCTGGATGCAGTGCCTTCCGGCTTGTCCTCCCACTAGGCAGGGGTGGGGGCCAATTGCCCTGTGCATTGCTCTTCTCAAATCCATGATGGCAGTGGCGGTCCGGGCCCGAGGGTAAAGGTCGAGCTAAAGCAGCCCCTGGAAAGAATCCACCTGTATAGCTGGGCTAGGAGCCAGACGCTTGCCCAGATGCTTCTGCCTGATGAGGGATCTAGGTAAAATGGGAACCCGTGAATGCTCCCTGCTTGGTGCCAAGTCTGCTAACAAGCTGAACAGGTACAGGGTCAGTACAGGTTCTGATCAAGGCAGTTGATAGATGAAAATGGGTTCGGAAAGATAAACAAGCAGCGTTCTGATTTGAAGGCAGTGATAGGATGAACACAGGCTTCTGGAGAACATAGACACGATCAGGTTCTGGCGATTTGAAAGGCCAGTTGATAAGGATGAAACGTTTCTGGAGAAGATAGAACAATCATGCTTGATAATCCCTCCCCCTAGTAATGTTTTTTAACTGACAAAACCCAAATAACTTTTTGGTTAGTATTTCACCACTGGAGACCACTTTGCCTCTGCTCATGGGTTGTGACTACAATGGTGGTACTTAGGATCGCAACCAGTAAATAAAGGTAACTTTGTG